GGGGGGGGGCGTGGAAATTTTTTTTGGGGTGCCTTCACAGGTTTGGGACAAAGAGCCACGGGCCTTGGAAGGGACGGCCCCTTTTTCCCCGGGTGGAAGGGGGGGGGGCCATTTTTTGGGAGGGCCGGGGGGGATAAAATTTTCAACGTTTTTGCCGGGGGCACGGCATTTCCGTAAAGGGAGGGGGCGCTTGGTCATTTTGCCATTTGGGAACATGGATCCGGTGGGGGTTACGGGTTGAGGGGGAGGGGGGGGGGGGGGGGCGTACTCATTTGTTGCTTGCCGTAGTCATTTGACCATTGACCACGCGTCCCTTTCGAGACGTTGAGAGGGAGGGGGGGGTGCCAAGGCACCTACAAACTATTTTAAATCTGGCCTGGCTCTAAACACTGTTTCATGTCTGTTGTTCTACGCACATTGAAACGTCCATGACAAGCCACTGCTGTTCACTTTATCCCGAAATTTCTCTCAAGAGAAAAATCTCTCTTCACTCGCTTAATGCGATGTCGTTATCCCGTACGGACGTGACAATCCACCCGTTACCTTCAACAATACCCGTGCGGATCCTCTTCAACTGCCTCCAGTACACCCGCAGGACCGGCTGCCAAACAAAATGCAGGACAACGCTCACAACCAAAACCTCCTCACCTGGGACACGGCCCACTCGTCCTCGATCATGTCCTTAGCCTCGGCACCCAACGGGTAGTCGCATTCCGTAGACACGTGCGACACCTGCCAAAATACCAGCAGGCCAACACAACAAAAAATACGGGCGGACACAAGCACACGAAAGGACATTAACACCCCCAACCGGAGAATGGGAGAGAGGGAGAGAGAGGGAGAGAGAGAGAGAGAGAGAGAGATGGAGAGAGGTGAACAAGGGTTTTCGAATTGAGCAGGCGTCTGACGTAGAACCTTTTCGCCGCACACGGCGCCCCAGGGTTACGCGGGACAGACGAGGGAAACTGGGCCCATGAGGGATCACCAGCCAAAGGTGGGAGAGACAAAGAGAGCACGCGAATCGGAACATAAGAGGAAATATTTAACAGAACTACCGTAGCCTCTAAACCCGGCTCTTACGCCCGGAACGTGCAGAGAGACGCGTGTGTGTGTGTACGGTTATCCATGCGTCCAGATACACCAAAATATGACGGCCAAAAAAAACAAGAAAGATTGGTGGGAAAGCACAAAGAACACAAAAGTTTCATTGTATCCTGCTATAAGACTGGCGAATTTTTTTCGTTATTGGTTGGTCAATTAGCGATATCGATGAAAATACGAAAACACAAACACATACACTTGGCCTCCTCATGATACCCCCTCGCCGGGTCCCTGATCATGGCCTTTTAGAAACATTTCCTTGTTCGCCCGCACTAAGACTGAGGTATTTTCATTGGCCAGGCGGCCAGCGCGGTCGACGCATAAAACCATAACATAATACTAATACTAACAATAAAAACAAAATAAAATACACGCACCTGGAAGTTGAATGCCAGGTAGTAGCCGGTCATCCACTCCGACACGAGGAAGAGGGCAGTGAACATGAGAGGCGTGTTCACTCCCTCGAAATACGCGAGAGGGAGGCAGATTCGCCACAGGGCCCAGAAGACCTTAGAGCTCCACATGAAGATTCATGAAAGTCCCCACAGGAGCCACCACCATGTTAAGCGGGATCGGGGTATTTTTGTAGAGTGGAGGGGATATCTCAGAACACAAGGCAGCCTATTGTTAGCTGCTGTTTTTCTTCGCCGAAAAAACATGGCGTGTCATCTTGAAAATTGAGGTTCCAGGCTGTGGTGATGAACTAAACTAACCCAAGCTGATCCACATGAGCGGAGTGGAACTATTCCTTACAAGCTCTGACGCCAAACATCTTTCTTCTTGCAGTCGAGGCACGACATCATCGTCACAAACGGCATACTTACATCTCGGCCCACCGGTACAGGGAGATGGGGTTCACCCGCACCGGTCCGTTCGTCTTTCCGAAGAACGTTCCCGTGAGGTCTTGGATGCGGAACTGGAGGACAGCCAAGAGCGTAGAGATGGTAGATGTTGGCAGTGTACGCCGACAACGACAGTTGTGTAGTCAATTCAGAGATGGGAGGCATGTCTTGAGACAGCACAGGCAACACTGTGGGAACAATCTCTGGTTAAGGCATGGCCCGTTTAGCAAGAACGTGTTCACAACAATACCATGACACTATATAGCACCAGCAACAACACCAGCAACAAAAACAACATGTTTGGGGTGCTCGGCAGAGTATACTGTCTACGGGACCTCCGGGGGATACGCGGATGAAATGTGTTGATCGGCATGCTGCATGGCGATGGTGTTGCCTACCGCATGTCTCTCACTCTCTAATCAACCAAGGTCTTGAGTCAACCTTCTTTCTCTTTCGGCCTCTGACGGGCTACCGCACCCAAACACAATATATTGTACGGCCTGGTGTTGGTAGTGGGTATTGGCGTCTGAGCTGTATGTGCCGGGCCAATGGGGCGGCGAATACGATATATATAGCTAAGCTGGGACGTGGCCAACGGGGACGGGACAGCACGGCAGCGGGTAGTGTATAGCTGGGACGGTGGCCATCGGGGACCGGGACAGCAGGGGGTGTATTGCTGGGACAGCGCTTCAGGGCTGGGACAGCAGGGTACGGGATATTTTTCAAGCGTAGACTATGGCGGAGAGAAGCGGCGGAATAGGAAGAGATTCGCAAAGGGAGGAGGGTACAGTTGTGCGCATCAAGATGGAGGAGATGTCGCGCAACGCAGCAGAGAAGCTACGAGCTGCCGAGTCGGAGGTGGAGAGGCTGGTGAAGGTGCTCAGAGCTGCGGAGGCTGCCGAGTATGAGAAGGAGAGACTTAGGCGGCAGCAACAACAACAACAACAGCAGCAGCGATGGAGTGCTCAATGGCAGCAGCAGCCATCGCAGGTACAGCAGTGTTCTCGTGGTGGTTTTGTCAGTCAGCAGAACCAACATTGCGTTTTCACTCAGAGCCACCAGGCGCGGCAGCACCAGCAGTTGGCGCGGCAGCAACAGCAGCTGCCGCCAACCGGAGTTGGTGGGATATATGACTGCGGGAGCAACGCCGTGTATTTCCAGCAGGAATCACCCTCTCCGCCTGGTACGGTATACCATTGCACTCGGTGCGGCAGGAACGGCCACCACGGCGTAGAATGCGCCGCACCCCGCAGGTTCGAGGGTACGTGCGGCGCCTGTGGTCAGTACGGCCATATGTGGCGGAACTGCGCCGTGCATCTTCATGGCAGCAGCGGCGAGGATGACGGCCGTATCGTCCGCGGTGGCTGCTGGATGGGCGTCAATGGCGGCGGCAGCTGCATGGACATCGGTGGAAGCTCGGTCGTACAGCAGCAGGTGGTGGTAGAGAGCGAGTACCGCTCTGATTTTGTCGACCTGGTTCACGTTGGCGGCGAGGTGATGGCAGAGAGCGAGTACCGCTCTGATTTCGTCGACGTGGTTCACGCTGGCGGCGCTGTGGACGGTGATGATGACGGATGGTTTGGATGGAATGATTCTGTGGACATGGTTCACGCTGGTGGCAGTGTCTGCGATGATGTTTTCCCCGCCGCTGGGGCGGGAGAAAAGGCCGGAGCGCCTGCGTTGGCGACTGGAGTGGCGGCATCGGCAGCAGCTCCAGCGGCGACGGCGGCGATCTCCGGCGGCAGTGTTTTCCCCGCGGCGGCGGCGGGGGGAACGGCCGGGGTCCCCGCGGTGGCAGCACGAGCGGCGGCATCGGCAGCAGCTCCGGCGGCGATGGCGGCGACCTCTGGCGGCAGTGTTCCCCCCGCGACGGCGGCAGGGGGGATGACCCGAGTCCCCGCGGTGGCAGCACGAGCGGCGGCATCGGTGGCAGCTCCAGCGGCGACGGCGGCGACCTACGGCGGCGGTAGTGTTGTCGCCGCGACGGCGGCGGGGGGAATTGCCGGGGTTCCTGCAGTGGCGGCAGGAGCGGCGGCATCGGCAGCAGCTCCAGAGGCGACGATGGCGACTTACGGCGGCGGTAGTGTTTCCCTCGCAGCGACGGCGGAGGAAGCGCCCGGAGGGCTCGCGGCGACAGCTGGAGTAACGGCATCGGCGGCGGTTCCAGCGGCGACGGTTGCGGTGCCCGGCGACACTGTTATCTCCGCGACGGTGGCGGGGAGAACGACCGGAGCGCCCGCGTTGGTGCTTGGAGCGTCGGTATCGACGGCGGTTCCAGCGGCGACGGCGGCGGCACCCGACGGTGTTGTTTCTCCCGCTGCGGCGGCGGGGAGAATGGCTCGAGAACCCGCGCAGGTGGCTACAATGACGGCATCGGCGGCTGGAGTGGCGACATCGGTGACGGCACCACCCGCGACCGCGGCGATGGCACCGGCCGCTACGATGGCGACCGTCGGTGACGTTCCCCCCACCGTATCGGTTGGGGGGACGGCCAGCAACGGGGAAGCGGTGGTCAACGGCATTGACGACGACAGCGATGATGGCGGTTGGTGCGCAGGTGAGGTTGATGGCTGCTGGGGTGACAGCGTCTGTGGCGAGAGGGGGGCGTCCACGCACCCTTTCGATCCCGGCACCGTGTGTTCGGGGGTGCGCGGCGCCAACTATCCCGGGGTGGACGACCTGGTCGATGGCTCCAGCAGCAGTAGCGGCAGCAGCATCGGCAGCAGTAGCAACGACGAGGCAGAGGGGATGGATGTGGCCTGGTTTGGGGCACTGCTGCGCCCCTTCGACCCGGGGGAGCTGTGCCGGCTGAAGGCTGGGAGAGTGGGGCCGGTGATGGGGGTGGACACCCCGTTCGACCGTGGAAAGATGTCGCGGGGGCAACGGCCGGGGAGCCCGTGTTCGCGACCGGAACAACGACAGGAGGATCATGAAGCGGGGAAGGGAGTTCGGAAGACCGGGCGAGTCCGACAATGACGACAAGCAGCGCGACTTCTGCTGGGGTCTCAAACTCGCCAAGGCACGTG